CATTTGTCTTCGTGTAATCCACTCAAGCAAATTTTAAAAATATTGTTATGAGAAAAAAACTTTTTACTGATAATGTAATATTGGACATCGATTGCTACTTAATGGTTGTCGACTTGTGATTTTAGACACTCGCTCGCCAGTCGTTTTATATTCAAACGTTGTGTACTTGCTGCCATTCTTCAATCATCAAGAATCTACTGGATTGAAAAATAAAAAATTTAATCTCAAGCATGTAATCAAGAACTAAAAAGAGAAATTTTTTTAGAATTAATATTTTTTTCACGTTTGCGTACTTGTTTCAAATTAAAAAATAAAAATTTCAATTTTAAATTTCGCAGCATCGGAAATAAAAATTAAATTTTCTTTTTTAAGAAAAATTAACAAAATTATAGAATTTAAAATTTAAAAAATTAAAAAAATTAAAGTTTAATTTTTAATCCCAACAGCAGGATTAAAAAAATAATATATAATTTTTAATACCAATATCAGGATTAAAGAATGAAAATGAAATTTTGGTTGCAAAATTTTTGAAAAAGAAAAAATTTGCAATCCTGATTCTACGCAACCAATAACAACATATGTCTATTAAAAACTCCTTTTTGAATTAAAATTTTGACTGCGTTCATTTATTTTACTAACTTTTTTGTTGCAGCCATATGCCACCGTAAAGTTAAAATGCCGATCTTTTCTCAACAAAAAACGAACCTAACGAAAATAAAACAAAAAGCTGCAAACAATTCTAGCTATAAGGCACTCTTTTGAGCACCTATAGGCTGCTAAGTATATCCTCCTCCCTAATATTACAAAAAAAAAATAATTTTTCATTTCAACTTATATCGAGCCACTTTGTATTACTAAAACAATGTATTTCTTATTTTCAACCATATTTGTACATTTCCACCTAGCAATTTATCACTGTTTCACGCATACATATATAACTAGCGTACTAGTCATTTTTTAATTTTTAACACTTCCCACAAAGCGGCATCCATTCTTGATTGACTTTATAAAGTCAGTATCACTGACGCATTGTGCTTTTGTATGCCTCATATTGGCGTACAGTAGGTACAGTTACAATAATAAGGCGATACTACACTGCTTCTTACAATTTTTTAACAAATATTTACAAAAGTGTTTTATTCGAAAGTCTCTGTTTAAACACGTGTTTTCATATTTTTGTGTAAATATATGTTTTCTTTCTCCTAGTTTTATTCATCTTTTATTTAAACGCCACCATTTCTTTTCCGCGTGCTTAACTGTCTTCCAATTTAGTTATATTCAATGTATATATATACGTAGGTATGTCTTTGTGTATTTAGTTGTGATCCATTTTCTAAAACTTGTATAGCTGTTCTTTATTTTGCTCCTAATTTCCCGGCATTTTAGTTGCTTTCCTCAAAATTGTTTTTATTTATTTATTTTTTTTTAATTTTGTTTTTTTTCTTGGTTTCGTAAATAATTACACACCGTCGACAACAACTGCGCTGTGCCCTAAATAAAGTAAATGGCTCCAACTGACTGCAGTAGACTCAGCTGTGGTAGAGCATTGTATTTTTAAATTAATAGCTTTTTAAATAACTATTTCCACTAATTCATTTGCTGTACTAATTTAAACGAAATCGAAGATAAATTGTTAAAAATTATTGAAAGCTTAAACATTTCTGAGAAAAGTTGAGAAATGCTTGCATTAAGAAATTTATTTCAAATTATTTCGAAAGCAAATTTTCCTAAATTGTATACTCACTGTCTAATAATTATATTATATATTTATAAACAGCGCCAAGTATCTCTTAATATGTAATAACTTAAAGTTTTCTTGGATCATTTCAATTATTTCTTTACTTCAATTAGCGAATTTACATGGAAAAAAAAATATTATTTGGAAAACAAACACTTTCAATTTCAGCCAATTCATAATATTAATAACTTAATTTTATGTAATATTTATTATTTTAAATTTTTCCACAAAATAAAATATATTAAAATTTACGAAAAATCAGATTATTATCAGAGAATGTTAATGAATCATGAATGTTAATGAACATTCTCTGTTTGCGCCTTCTCTATTCATAAACATTCTCTGGATATACTGCTTTATCTACTTTGTTCAACAGAGTAGTTCCGCCTGAAATTCGTTGCATAGCCTGCAGGCGCAACGGTGCTGTCGTATCGACTTACTACTACGAGCACTTCCGCACGAAATTCGATGCATACTCCACAGGTGCACTGCTTTGTCGATGACAGTTTGTCGGCCACTGTAGCTGCAAAATGTCAGCAGAGAATGTTAATAAATAAATAATAAAATCAGAGAACGTAAATAAAATTCATTTAATTTCTCTGATAAAATAAAAAAAAATGTATTAACATTCTCTGGTCTGGTAAAATGTGTGTATTAAGAGTAGAAATTGAGTGATTTTAACGAAAATTGGTGGAATTTTGTAGAAAATTCACTGAATAAAATTGGAATTATTTAAATACATTTTTTTTTCTTAACAAACTTTTTTTTAATATTAGTTTTTTTAATCAATAGTAAAAAAATTTTGGAAAAAAAAATTTTTTAATAAATAATTTTATTTAATTAATAATTTAAAAAAAAAATTTTTAATATATAATTTTATTTAACTAATAATTTAAAAAAAGTATTTTTATTAGTTTAAGGTAAGGCAAGAAAAATGCGGGTATAAAATGTAGAAATTAAGCTTTTTAAACGATAATTTGGTGGAATGTTCTAAAAAAAATATTCAAAACAAAATGGAATTGAAATTTTGTTAATCCTTTTTTTTTTAATTTTTTCTACTTTCTTTCGTGTTACTTTTTTCAAAATTTTGTTTAAAATAATATTTTGTATACTTTTTCTTGAGCGATTTTAAAATCCTGCAAATAAAAATGGAAGTGCAATTTTTATTAATAAATTTAAAAGAAACTTTTTTTCAAAAATTAATTATTATTTTTTATATTTTAATTTAGGTTTAGCAGTAATGAGAGAAATTGAGCGATTTAAATAACTGGACTTTTATAAAAAATTATTTAAAAAAAACTGGAATTGAAATTTTATAATTTTTTTCAATATTTTGTACAATTTTTAAGATATTATTTTAAATTTTTTTTAATAATTTTTTTAAACAAACTGTTTTTAATAATTTTTTTAAGTACATTTTTTTAAGAATTTTTTTATTAAATATTTTCCAACAATTTTTTTAATGAATTTTTTTTTAATTAGTAATTTTCAATGTAATTAAAAATTTAATTGTTAAAATTATAATTTGTACAATAAAGTTTTCTTTTTCGACTGCTGTTGAGTTTTGTTGTTTTTGTTTCTGTAAATTGCGCAATTTTTAGTTAAATAAAAGACATTCTTTTGTTAGTGACATTACATTCTTTTTATTATAATTTTTTTTTTTTAATCTATCTTAAAATAAAATAATTATACCAATTATACGATAATACATTTATTTACATTTTTTAAACCATAAACTATATTTCGATTTAGTCAACAATTTTAGCTGCTCTTTTGTGAATAAACATTTACATATTCCTACATAAAATTTTCAAAGCGACACTGTATATATTTAGATAAATTTTATACTTTTTACTACACATGGAAATAAAGTATTTAAAAGAAAGTTGAAGTTATCGACATAAATTTTCAATTTTGCACACTAACTAAAATTAAAATTTAATTAGCACAAACTTTTAAAGAAATTTACTAATTTGGTTATAAATTGAGTGCTAACAATTTAGTCCAAAAAAATAATAAAAAAAAAATTACCGAAAATTGTGTAAGAAAAAAATTTCAGAATTTGAAAAATAAATTAATAAAAATTAGTTGAAAGTGTTAAAAGTTACGGTAAGCAAGAAAACATTTATTAGCCGAAAATATACTTTTACATTAAAATTAAATAAATTAAGTTTATGTAAAAGCTTTTGGTTAAATATAAGTAGTCTCAAGTGAAGAAACCATATTAGAAGCACAAAAAATAAAACAACATACAGAGTATAATGAAAATCGATATTCATAAAAAAAAATAGTTATTGAAAATTTTGTTGACGTTTTGTAATTTAATATATTAATTTTGAAAAAAATTATATCAATAAATATATTTTTTTTTTAAAGTTTTGTTAAAGCAAAAATTTAAAAACAATCTTTAAAAGTGCAATCTAAATTATCAAAAATATTTTAAATAAACTATAAATGAGTTCTTTAATATTTGATTGTTCAAGATTTTCAATCTAAAAGTCTAATTTAAAGGTATATGGATATCATAATAACAAAAATTTTGATTAATTACAGTGAATTATTTTAAAAATATGTTCAACCAAATATTTTGAAAATGTTAAAAATTCTAAGTATTTTGAAATTGTAAAGGTAAAAATTAAGAAACAATCTAAATTTTCAAAATTATTTTTAAATTTAGAAAATTATTATTTTGATATGTTTATACATTTTTTTTTGAAAATGTGAAACATTTTTAAAGTATTTTTTATTTTTTATGTAAAGTTGCAAATTACAAAATAAACAAAAATTTTAAATTTTCACAAATGTTTTTATTTTTTTTAAAAGGTGCAAGACTTTAAGAAATAGTCAGAAACTGAAATACTCAAAAATGTTTTTAAATTGAGAAATAATTCATACTGCACTAAAATGAAATACCTCAAAATTAGATTATATAGGGTAGACACTGAATAAATAACAAAAATTCGAAATTCGCAGCTAAAATTGTTTCGTTGACAATTTCGTTGCATTGCAAAAAAATAATAAACTTACTTAAAACTAACAACTTAACTACTTGATAAATACATACATACAAAGACAATTAATTTAATGTTATATATAAAAATATAAGTACTCAATATGAGTCAATACTGGCTTAACCACTAAATGCACTTCACTGCACGAAATTTTATTTAGCAAAGCACTTACAACAACTTTTGTAATAAAAAATATATATTACTTTACTGTAGATCAATGTTCTAATAAACATATACGCTCCTTGAATTACTTTTTTTTTTTGTTTTGCTTTAAATTACTACACTTTTCTGTTTTGTGGCAGACTTAGCGCTCTGATGGCACGCAAAATGATACTATGCAATGTTCCACAATGAGTCTCATATTCAGAAGAAATAGAAGTAGTTAGATAATTAAGCCACATACATATGTATGTGCGCATGTGTTTAGCTTAAGACGCGTCTTAATTAGCTGACAGGCAGCATAGAGCACATTTGCGCGACCAAAGGTACGAGTTTACTTAATTTATGAAAGGCACACAAGCTTGCCAGGCTCCAAAGCTCTCAGCGCCCACTAGGCACCAGCGGGCGTGTGTATTTGCAGCTGCTGCTTTTTCAGGCGCGCCACCCGTTTTGGCGCACGAATTCAGCTTACCAACACTAGAACTTCTCATCGTCGATATTCGAGCGGTAATTATTCAGCTGATGTGAATTCCTCTTCAGGGTGCCCGTCTCGCAGTCATTATAGGTCTTCGCCAATACTTTGGGCGTGTGATTGTGCGCCATATTGTTGCGCGTCAGCGTGCCAGTGTTGCAGCTTTTCGACGGTGATGGTGAGCACATATTGAAGCTGGACTGCCGCTTCACTTTCGGGCGCACCTCGTAGATCTGTAAATTTAAAGACTGCTGATATTTAGAAATAATTTTTGTTGTGTCTTTGATTGAAGTTTATGTGGTAACTTACATCTTTTGTGGGTAAGCTGGAATACTGATTGGCATAAGAATCATAGTTGGGCGCAACCGGCGTGTTATTCTTATTCAACGCCAAATCGACAGGTTTTATGAAACGCTTGGTCAAATAGAATGTGCCGATTATGGTGATTACGTAGATTATGGAACAGAGTAGTATGATCCAGGGCCAGGAGGTGCTGGAGGAAAGGCGCAAGGCTGGAAGAGATATATAATTGTAATTAAAGTATACAAGATGCGTAAGCAATTTTCCAAGCGCTGTATTTGTATGCCACTTTTTACTAAATAGAAGCCGCTTTAGCGTCATCCCTTTACTTTTTGAAACTCACCTTCATATTCATTCGGCACGCAAGCGGTCTTTTCGAATTCTGCACCACGACACTCGGACGCTGATGGTATATCCACCATACACTTGCGATGTCTTATGCGTATGCCCTCACTTGAGCATTCCGACCAGGGGCTCCACGTGCTCCAGCCAATAAAGTCTGTTAGTAGAAAACAATTTTGTCAAACTGAAAACCAACACGAATAAATGAAAGCACGTCACTTACCAGTACAAGGCGCCATCGCGCACTTTTCCTCCTCAATCGCTTTGCCACTGCACAGTTTATCGTGACCGCCTAAGCAGCGACGCGTACGTCGCCTTAAACCCATGCCGCATGTAACCGAACAAGGCGACCAATCCGTCCAACAGCTCCATTCATGCATCTGCACCACTTCATTGAGGTTTGTCGCCGGTACCACCGCCGCCTCTTCACAAGCTTGTATATTACAGACGCGTGCCTGTGTGGCATGACGTCCACGATGCTTGCCACTGCCAGAAACGTCGTGCAAACGATATTGCAAACCGCCGCCACAGGTAACGCTGCAAGGACCCCATTCACCATGTTCTTCGCGTTCCTCAGATACTGCAGGCGAACCCGCTAATGCCACCGATGCGCCATATACTTCATGATGACGCTGGCAGCTACCATCCGCATGACAAGTGCGTGTCTCTTCTTTAGCCAGTGCTATGCGCAAGCTATTCACATCTGTGGTGCTGCCACGACAGACGTATCTGAAGCGACGCTCAACATATGTGCCGCTTGTTTCGGTACTCTTGCGGCTATCATTGTACTCCACCAACCAAGGTGTCCACGAACTCAATTTCTTTACTTCGGGACAGGCATGTACATTGCAGACTTCGTAGTCGATAGCGCAGCCAGGACACTCCTGACCATCGTTCTGTGGCACCGGATCGTTGCATTCACGGCGTCGTATGCGAAAGCCGCCACCGCATTGTGTGCTACATTCGCTCCACACACCCCATGGACCCCAACCGCCGTCGATGGCTTGCAGCTTGGGCGTGGGGCAAGGTGGCAAATGCCGACAATACATTTCTTGATGATCATCACCGACACAGGTGCGTCCACCATGCGCTGGCTTTGGATTGCCGCACGTGCGTCGACGCGTCTTCACCGCTATACCACATGTTTGTGAGCATGCAGACCATTCCGACCAATTGGTCCAATCACCATGTACCGTGCAGTTTGTTACCTCTGTCGTGATACCATCACAGCTGCGTCCACCATTTTGCGGTTGTGGATTGTTACATTCGCGCGTGCGGCACATACAATTACCATCGTCATCGCCGTGCTTCTTGCAATTGTACCATTCAGACCAGGTGGACCAAGCGCCATCGATAGGCGCATTTAAAATGGGACACTGCAAAGTGTCCGGTTGCAGCCAGAATTTGTTCAATTGTTGTACCAGCTCCTGTGGCGTGCAACGCTCAATCAACTCATTCCAACCACAATAAGGATCCATAGCATTTAAGCAGCTGCTCTGCGACACATGGCGACTGCAACGTTGTGCCGGTATGCGTATTAGCGCCTGTTCGGTTCCGAGATAAAGCGATTCGGTCACTTTCAAGTATTCCATTTTCAAAATATCACCATCAGCACCATTATATTCCGCTGACTGCCAGACTTCAATCAGACATGTTTGCGCGCGTCGCTCCTCGAGCTGATGCTTCACGGAAAGTTTCTTGATACGCTTGTCATCGGTCGAAACGAACAGCACGTGCACTTTTTCGGTTTTCGTTTGCAGAGTGTCCAAAGAAATGTGCTGGAAGCGTTCCAATTTGGAATAATACAACGGTTGTTCGGTCATCGGCTGCACGGCGTGAGCCATCAGTTGGAACTTCGAAGACTCAAGCAGACGTTTGTAACGCATGTCCGGAGATGGCGTTTCGCATTGAAACTGGCTACGGTGTGGCATGTCTACTATGCGCCAATCGGAATCGGCAGAATCCTGATAGCGGAATGGACCGTCGAATGCGGCATTAATAGACGTGAGATTGTAGGAACAGACCGCTGAACCGTGTATGCTATTGCTGTGTGTGGTAAATTAAAGCAGAAGAGGTTTATTTTTAATTAATCGTAATAATAAATTGGGTTTTTGCTATTTTGAGGTTATTTAAACTAGGTTAGCGGTAAGTTTTGGTATTATTAAAAGTCCAGAATTCGAGTTCTTTCAACACAATCAAACCTCAGTAAGCGGATTGTTAGATAATTGGGGTATAGATGGCATTAAAGAAAGAGGCGACGCATGTTCGGATTTCGGTACATCGGAGAAAGATATTTCAAGTCAATAATCAGAGAGAAAATATGTCAGATTTGCACTAGGAAATCAAGCACTACGAACTTCAAGTATAGAATAACAGTTAGTGAAGATATAGGTTGACTCTTTGCGACTGATTTAAGGTATGCGTTTGTAGTTGGGTTAAGTTAGATATCGTTAATTTATTGAAAGTATATTGTTATTTCTCGGCGTCGGTTTTATATCAAGCATGTCTGTATGGTTCATTTCAAAAAAGTTTCTTTCCTTAAGACCGCTTTGTTGGTGACAAGATATTAATTGTTCCAAATCTTTAGGAGTTAAAGAAATTTCGACGGGGGTTTCACAAGAGAGGGGCTTAAACATTTTACACAAATAATTCCAAGAACTTACGTAACTGTAAAAGTACTTACGCTGGTGTCGTAAAGGTCGCATAGAGCACATCCTCATCAGCTGAGTAAGTCATGCCCTGTATCTCATCAAAATAAAATGGATATTCACCGGGTAACGAGCAATTCAAACGCGCTTTAACAAAGGAGGTCCAACTATTCTTCAAAATTTGGTCGCCACCGGCATCATTTTTGCAAACTCTGGCAATGCGCGAGTAGATAATCTGCAGAAAAACAAAAAATCATTTAACTTTGTTGAAGAACAATTTTTTATAGGGTTTGACTTCAGCACTTACCTTGCCCCAGCTACTGTACTCCACAGCCGGTTCGCGGAAGAGAAAATAAACGAAATTGCCCGCCTCAAAGCTGCCCACAAAATGTGGATTATTCAGCCAATTGTTGTTGTACTGTTGCGTGCGCACAATGTGTCGGTAACCGAACTGTAAAGAAAATAAAATAACGATTAAATAGAATTCTGCAACAGAACATCTCCACCAACTTACGATTTTCTTCGGCTGCACTTCGGTGCGCAAAATCGCCGGATCGCCACCTGAGAAATCGGTCGCGGTGCCCACAAACATTTTATCCGTGCTGGACATTAGACTCGTGATGCTTGAATGCGGATTAAAGGGACACTTTCCCACACCGTTATCATAGGCTACAATCGTAAGATTCTCCATCTAATGTGTGCAACGAAAACAAAGCAATTGAAATAAAACATGCAAAGTGACAGGACAAGACAAGAAAAGCGCTTACGAAATGCAATGAATTATTGATTGCCGCGTGAATTAAGCAAATACAGCTAATCCAGCGCACAACCAGCAATCAAGCATGTAAAGCGCAACAACAAAATGACAAGCTAGTGCAGCAAGCAACAACTAGTAAACCCACCAGCTTACATGCAACTTGCAACTTGCTAATATTTGCTGTTAATGTTTATTACACAGGTTATTCATTTCGAATTGTTTTTGTTTCGTATATTTTATTCGATTTTGTTGTTGTGCACTCATGCCAACGCTGCTTGATTGCTGGTTGCGTTGATTGTTGTTGATTGTCGTTAGCTTGCGCTTGTTTTTTTATTTATTTATTTTTTTTTTTGTGTGAATATGTTGTGGTTTTTTGGGTTATTGCTTAAGACACATATGTGTCTGAGTACCAACCTGGCGCCATGAACATTGCGGCTGAAAGGCGTTCGTCCCACACGCGTACAATTGATTCTCACCGTAGCTTTGGAGTACGCGCACATAGTTGCGACACAAACGCTCCGACTGGCCTTTTACCTGACAAATGCCAATCTGTTCGGGCGGCGCTGCCCAAACGGCACGTTCCAGTGGCTCCAAATCGAAGGACATGCGATAAATTGAGTCGCTGTAAATATGTCACAAAGCAAAAGAGTTAAAAAATAATTAGTTATTTTTGGATATCATGCGAAATACACGTCGAAAAGTGTGTGGTTGTTAGGTTTCGTGCAAAATAAAATATGTATGTCAGAAAAAAATTAATGTGTTTATATGGACATACTTGAGGGATTTATGCGTTTTAAGAGTGGCTGTGATGGCTTTTGGGCACTTTTAATTTTATGTCTTTTAATTCTAATCAGGTGTTGTTGAAGTGAACAAGTTTATAAACGAATCAAAGCAAATATTACCAGGGGCAAATGAGTTTTTGGGAAAGTAGAGCAAATGTGCATAAAAATATCAAATTATTTCGGCAAATAGTTGGACATGCAAAACATAAAAAATTTGTCTGCGCTTCAATTTTTTTTGTACAACAAGCAATCTACGCAGACTTATTTAAATATTAATTATTGATTTTATTGTAAGCTTCCAAAGTGTTTTGACTAGTCAGTTTTTGAAGCCATAAATAATAAAAAAATTTAGAAATAGCACAAGGGAACGCAGAATTTAAGCATATTTTCGAAAATACCCTTTGGAGTTGCTGCCACATGTAGTTATTCTTTATCTCAGTTAAACCAAGCAACTTGCTATCATGAATTTTACAAGCCTATTACTACGTTATTCTTTAAGATGTCTATCTTTTTTCCTCGAGCACTAAAACTCTTACTTTCTTCATAATAGGTGTTACAAGTATTTATCATCTGAGGCTTTTTACTTTATAAATACTTTAACTTCCCTCGAAAAATTTATAGATACTCTTGTCGTCTTTGAATAGAATAATGTTGTGATAAAAATAGATCTGACGGTATGTGATAACCAGATAAAGTATCTTCCAATAAGCAGTCAAAGTTTTCACTTTAATTTCAATCCTAATATATTAGATCAATCTTTTGTTATTTTACAGAGACTTAAATTCTTAATCAATAATAATAAAAATTAATCAAAAAAAATTAACTTGAAAAATATTTCAATTTTTAATTTAGCGACAGCCAAGCCTGCTGCCGTGAAGTCGTGCTGCTGTCTAAATAACTATGCCCATAAGAACGTGTGTATTTTAAATTTTGACAGATGCTGTCTGTCGCTTGTCGTTGTCTATGTGTTCAGCACTTAAGGCTTGCGATATGAGAGAGTTTAAAAAAAGTAGATATGTGAGTATATGAATATTTAAAGGGTATTAGCGTTTGTTATAACGGAAAAGAAAGTGTAAGTTATAAGAAATAACTGGAGTGATGTAAAATACTCAGTAGTGAACATTTAGGCACTTCATTAACAAATAAAAAAAAATTTTAATGGAAAAAAATGGAAAGTATTTTATTTTCGTAGTAGTTAAAACTCCACTCAACTTATCGAACCGTAGGCCGTGTTTTTATGCCCCGATATCAACTTATCTGTTGCCCGAATCAATATTTTAAAGTAATTTAACACTAATCCAGCCAACGGCCTAACAAAATAGCAATTCAAAGGTGAACAATGTGTCTGACCTTAATTCGATACAAATCGAATTGCTTATTTAAAGGTGTTGCCACACCAACAAATTACAAATTTAATTGCTGTTTAAATAAAAATATATATATCTGAGCACAGATTAACGCCTTCAAGGTTCCGTCAACATATTTATTGCAAGCCAGAAATTTTTTTAATAACATAACTCATGGCGTAACGCCGTTAATTCGGCATAAATGTGGGTGGCATGCGCCAAACCTAGCCAATTGGAATTAACGAACGCATTGAGAACGTGGCGGTTTTGGCTAAAAAGTTTAGACATGCTAATCCTTTTGTTAGTATAGTATTATATTATATTATAGGAGAGCGTAATATATACATATAAGTACATAGTAAATATATATACATATATAAGTACACTTGTACAACAAAGCATTAAAAATAATCATAATATTCCAGAGAAATGCATTTGCGCAGGCGTCAACAAGTATGTCACGCGCCGCCGTGCATTCGCAGCCGACCAAATATGCAAAATAAAAGAAAACGCAAACAGCTTACAAGAACGCTTAGCGAAAAAATGCGCCTATATATGTGTGCGCTTGTATGCGGCGGCCAACTGCCACACTTAATGTTACTGCCACACATTTTTAATAACCCGAAATTAAGTAGTTTTTTCGCCGAAAAATGAATAAAAACGAAAATATGCAAGAAAAATATTGCAAATCGCCAAAGCAAAGCAAATAAGTACACCAAGTGTTGTTATTGGTTTTGTGCGCCGCAAACGCTGAACGAAACGCGCGTTGATTGCATGACTTACTGACTGACTCGCGCGCTCACCGCTTGACCAACCTGCAGTCAACCTTTCCACACCTGCTGCAACGTCTTAATAGGCGCGCATGCCGGCATGTCTGTTTGTTTGTATGTATGCGTGCGCGCCTGCATGACAGTTCGTTTACGCTGCCAGCCGCCGTTTAATTACGAATGCGCATGCAAAATTTATGCGTGAGAGTGCGCGTGCATACGGCAACCTGCAACATGCGAAACACGAGCTACAACAGCAATAACAAGCGCACACTAATAACAGCTGCTTTGTTGCTTGTTAAGTTGGCTGCAAACGCCAGCAAATCTGCAAATCAACAACGTTCAAGCAGCTAACAAATAGCGCCTATGGCCAAATAGCAACGTTACATGTTGCAAGCGGCGCGGCGCGGCAGTTCATTCGGCAGCACGCGGTTGTTTTGAGAGGCGGTGGAGGTTGTAACGGTGGCGGCGGTGACGATGGCGTTGAGTTTGATTGTCGCAACAGTTAAGGCCAGCCAAATAGTGGCAAATCTCTGGGGCGCAACAACAATAGTTAGCAACTGCAGTCGGTGTTTTACAGCAGCGGTAGTAATAAAAGAATGCCGCCATCAAGACGCTAGGCGAACGCCTACACGTGGCGGCTAAAGTGAACCGTTTCATATTGCATGACGCAAAAAGTAATAAAAAAAATAAAGTTAAAATAAAATATAAATACAAAATAAATAAGTAAAATTATCGAAGCTTTAAAATATAGCTGGCGTCTTGAGGTCGCTAGCGCACAATTTGAAACAAGTAGTGCTGCTTGTCAGCTTTTTCTTAGTCTGTCATTGTTGTTGACTACTGTTGTTGTAACTGTAACAGTTACTTTTACACACTACACACTATGGTTGCTAACTATATTTAACAGCCAATTCATTTTGCTATTGAATCTAATACCCTAGTGTGTCGCTTTGCGCTTATTATGCTGCAGCTATTGAAAGCAATGGTTGCGCATGCGCTGCGCTTGTTGCATTAACATGCCTTGCATATTCGTATATCGCTGGCGGCTAATAAAATATCAGAAATGACAATTTGGGTTTGCAAGGTGCGCAAAAAAAATGGAAACGTTATTAAATTTTATTTAAGGTGATGCAGGATTGCGAATAATGCATTAAAAAATAATTGAATTAACATTAAAATAATTAGTTTTATATTGCATCTCCGAAAAACTTAATAAAAAATAAATTCTATATTTTTAATTTTAAAGCTGTATTAAAAAATTTAAAAAAAAAATGTAATCCCAATTTTATAATTAAAAATAATTTTTTTTTTTATTTAAATTTAGAAAAAATTAATTTTCCATTTTTTATACCAAAATAGGAAGTAAATTTTCAAAATTTTATTTTTATTCAAAAATTGTTTAATTAAAAAAATCGCAACCCTAATAGTTTCCAAGTAAAAATCAAAAAATAACACTTTAAAATAAAACTAAAAAAACTAATATTTTTTATAAGAAGTTTATAAAAATTGTACTAAAATATGGCGAATTTTTATTTACTAATTTACTTATTAAATAATTTTTATAAGAAATTTGCTTTTAAGCTCAACGTTAAGCCTTTCTATGAAAGTAATCAACTTCAACTCTTTCAAAAGAGAAACCATATATGTTTTTAGATCTTATATGCTCTGCATCGATTTCAAATATACATATATGAGTATTATTTTTAACTAAAGTAAAATTATTTTTATATGATTTTTTTGTCTACTAAAATTCACGAAATTCTCGAAAATATAAAACCTGCTAAATCGTATACTTTAATTCGGTTAACTGTTTGACAACTCTATATACCTATATATAGCTATATATAAAAAAAGGTAACGAAATTCTAAAGAGCAAGGCATCGAACTTTAACAAGATAACATTCGAAAAAATCTCATCAAGGGAAAATTGTAAGCAGTTTTTATATGTATAATTCGAACCTGATGAGAAATTCATAAGCGAGCGTGCTTACTAGAGCTATTTTGATGTTTAATCCGCCATATATATTAAACTACTTTATTTATTCCCATTCTCGCTGATCTTTGAAGCCAATTTAAATTTAAAATTAATATTAGAGACAAGATGCCACAAGTTGGATAGTTTAACAAGAGTGGTTTTATAGAGACTATTTGAGCTAACCGACAGTTTCACTCTCTCAACACTCGAATAAGTTATTTGTCAAAGGCACACTACATAATTGCTTGGTAAGTACAAACTAGAAAGAAAAAGCAACCCCAGTTTGGTTAAGTCAGAAAACTTTCCAAATTTTGAGATCAGTTGAAGGAAGTTTTGTATTTTTAGTACAAAATTAAGTAAACTTTATAAAAGCTTAGAAAACAACGTTCAATATAACGAGTCAAGTTTTCATACAAAGAACTAACCCGTGCTAGATAAGTTTGTGAAAATTTTCAAAAATCATTAAAAAATATGAGAGCTTATTTTAACGATCCAAAGTAAATTTCTAGTTCATATTGTACAAGCCATTATTTAAATTTGTGAAAAGTATGTAATTTTAATGCTCAAAAGTGCTAATTGCAACGAAAATTGTTATATTATCGTTTTTCTTGTTCTATGATAATCTCGCCATAAATTTCCAAATGATTATTATTATTTTTTGTGTGATTTTCTTACTACAAACCACCAACTATTGCAACTATTTTACATGAATGTGTAACACCACGCATTTATGCTTATAATTAAGGCAAATT